GTGCGGCAGATGGCGCTGCCCTCCGGCGATGCCGTGACGGCCTTGGAGATGACTTACACCTCCTCTCGCCCCCTCCCTCTTCGATTTCGTCCCGTCTCGTGTCGACTCGCAACATCTGGTCCATAAAGTTGTACAATGAAGTAATTTGTGGTATTTTCACCCCTTGTGTCAGGACTTGTTTAATTTGCTTCTCCTCATTGTGAGATAAAGCAGACGCCAAACACCACCACAGATTGATCTCCAAGCTCCTCTTGTCCGGTGCACTCCTTTCCTCCTCAACTCCATTCTCTCCCCATCTCCAACACGCGCCGCCTCATCTCTCACCATGCCTCGCTACGGGCTCTTCGCCGCCGTGGAGATGGAGGGAGTCCTCGAGCTCGATCCCATCAGGGGAGTTTTCAACGGAGCCGCGACACTTTAGGTCCCTCATCTTGACATCGAGTTTGAATAACTTCCCTAAACCGTAAAACCGGGTATAACGCATCCCTCATCTTCCAAAACCAGTGCAAATGTAGTCCTAAGGCAGTATTGAAAGTGGTTTTGGGTGACGTGGTGCTGACGTGGGACAAGAAGCAAAAAAAAAAACCACGTGGGACCCATATGTAAGTGAAATAGCTTAATTATCTGCTCCAGCCTGAGCATGGCGTGATCGTTGTCACCGGCCATGTCGACAAACATACAAGTCATATGGTTTGCCTTGTTGTCCATCTTCACCTCCACCACCTCTGGAGGCAGCACGTTGTCGATGGGGTGCACCTCCGCGCGGTAGATGGCCCTGCCCTCCGGCGATGCCGTGACGTCCTTGGAGATGACTTACACCTCCTCTCGCCTCCTCCCTCTTCGGCATTGTCCTGTCTCGCAAAATCTGGTCCATAAAGTTGTACAATGCAGTACTTTGTGGTATTTTCACCACCCTTGTGTCAGGACTGGTTTAATTTGCTTCTCCTCATTGTGAGATAAAGCTGACGCCAAACACCACCCCAGATTGATCTCAAAGCTCCTCTTGTCCGGTGCGCTCCTTTCCTCCTCAATTCCATTCTCTCCCCATCTCCAATGCGCGTCGCCTCATCTCTCACCATGCCTCGCTACATGCTCTTCGCCGCCGTGGAGATGGAGGGAGTCCACGAGCTCGATCCCATCAAGGGAGTTTTCAATGGAGCTGCGACGGCATACTTTTTGCAGGTATGCACTAGCTCTAGCTCTTTTCTTGGGCGGCGTACTAGTAATTTTCCTTGTGATTTGGGGCTTGGGGATGTTTTGTTCTTGTAATCTGGTTTGGGGTGATCTCTTGCATCTAAGGTTTCTTTTTGGTTGATAATGATTTTGATACGTACTTGTTCCAGCTGTGGTGCACAACTTGCCGTGAAGCTACCAGCAAGCAGATTTGCCTCTACCCAGGACCGAGCCTATGCCCGTTCTACTTGCGTAGTAAGAAGGAATAAGTTCACTTTAGGTCCCTCATCTTGACGTCGAGTTTGAATAACATCCCTAAACCGTAAAACCAGGTATAACGCATCCCTCATCTTCCAAAACCAGTGGAAATGTAGTCCTAAGGCAGTATTGAAGGTGGTTTTGGGTCATGTGGCACAAGAAGCAAACAAAAACCACGTGGGACCCATATGTAAGTGAAATAGCTTAATGATCTTCTCCAGCCTGAGCATGGCGTGATCGTCGTCACCGGCCATATCGACATCCACACAAGCTGTATGGTTTGCCTTGTCGTCCACCTTCACCTCCACCACCTCTGGGGGTAGCACGTTGTCGATGGGGTGCACCTCCGCGTGGCAGCAGACGCTGCCCTCCGGCAATGCTGCGACGGCCTTGGGGATGACTTACACCTCCTCTCGCCTCCTCCCTCTTCAACTTCGTCCTGTCTCATGTCGACTCGCAACATCTAGTCCATAAAGTTGTACAATGCAGTAGTGTGTGGTATTTTCATAGCCCCTGTGTCAGGACTCGTTTAATTTGCTTCTCCTCACCGTGAGATAAAGCAGATGCCAAACACCATCCCAGACAGACACCAAACACCACCCCAGATTGGTCTCGAAGCTCCTCTTGTCTGGTACACTCCTTTCCTCCTCAACTCCATTCTCTCCCCATCTCCAACGCGCGCCGCCTCATCTCTCACCATGCCTCGCTACGGGCTCTTCGCCGCCGTGGAGATGGAGGGAGTCCTCGAGCTCAATCCCATCGGGGAGTTTTCAGTGGAGCCGCGACGGCATACTTTTTGCATGTATGCACTAGCTTTAGCTCTTTTCTTGGGTGGCGTATTAGTATTTTTCCTTGTGATTTGGGGTTTGGGGGTGTTTTGTTCTTGTAATCTTGGTTTTGGGGGTGATCTCTTGTATCTGGGTTTTTTTTTGTTGATAATAATTTTGGTACGTCCTTGTCAGCTACGGTGCACAACTTGCCGTGAAGCTACCGGCAAGCATATCTGCCTCTACCTAGGATTGAGCCCATGCCCGTTCTACTTGCGTAGTAAGAAGGAATAAGTTCACTTTAGGTTCCTCATCTTGACGTCGAGTTTGAATAACTTTCCTAAACCATAAAACTGGGTATAACGCATCCCTCATCTTCCAAAACCATTGCAAAGGTAGTCCTAACGCGGTATTAAAGGTGGTTTTGGGTGATGTGGCACAAGAAGCAAAGAAAAAAACCACGTGGGACCCATATGTAAGTGAAATAGCTTAATGATCTGCTCCAACCTAAGCATGGTGTGATCGTCATCACCGGCCATGTCGACATCCGCACAAGCCGTATGATTTGCCTTGTCGTCCACCTTCACCTCCACCACCTATGTGGTCCATGTGGACAACACGTTGTCGATGGGGTGCACCTCAGCGTGGCAGCTGGCCCTGCCGCGCCAGCCTTGGGGATGACTTGCACCTCCTCTCGTCTCCTCCCTCTTCAACTTCATCCCGTCTCGTGTCGACTCGCAACATCTGGTCCATAAAGTTGTACAATACAGTAGTGTGCGGTATTTTCACCGCCCTTGTGTCAGGACTGGTTTAATTTGCTTCTCCTCACCGTGAGATAAAGCAGACGTCAAACACCACCCCAGATTGATCTTAATCTGTTACTCTCGGTAGACGCGGCGGCGCATGCATCTGGCCTCCGTGACCATCCAACCGACGGTGGAGGCGCGCCTCTGAGCTTGCTGGCAGCAGCCATGCATGGAGATCGTAGCGAGAGCAACCACCGTCTTCCAGTCATTAATTCGTCGTGCCCGGCACGCACGGCCAAGTCCTCACCGTCGTTGCCGGAGTTGTCGCTGCGCGTTACTTGATTGTCCTTTGCTATCTTCGCCGCCCTCGCGCGTGTGCGCTGTGCGCGGCAACGCGTATCGGCGTATGCCGCGAAACCTTCGCATGCTACTACCGATTTCCTTCCACGAGAGTCGCGCGAGAAATAGAAATGCCAGTTGTTATCTGCTGCAGCCTGCATGCGCTGCTATAGTGGTCACGTACGGATGGTCCAATGATGCATGCAAATATGCAAATGAATAAATGATCGCCAGCTTAAGCTCCATACAGGGTTGCATGCATGCATGCATGCACGCACGCCGCTTCTCTGGAGCATGCTTGCCGGGAATCCATCTCCATGCTAGCTTGCCTTGTCGACACGACTATTGTGGAGAGGCTACGGCGAGCAGCCTGTGGGCGCGCGCTTCGGCAAGGGCTGCGTCGGAGACATGCATGCATGGAGCGCAGCTGGTCATCGCAGACGCACTCCAGCCGGTGTCCATGATCGTGGTTTCGTGCCAACGTCGGCCATGCCATGCCAGCCGGCATGTCGCGACCATGCATGGTCCGTTCCACGCCGCGGCGTGGCTGTGGTTGGCGTGGACGCGACCGCGCGCAGCAGCCGGATCTCGTTGGAGGCCTGCTGCTCGCGGGAGCTTGAGCTCGCCGAGCTGATGCGGCGGGAGGCCACCAGGGAATGGATCGAGGCCCCACGAGCAGCTCCTAGGTGCACTGCGCGTGGCTACCTCCACCGCCTTCTCGTCGGCGACCTTGGCTAGATGTAGCCACGGCGAGCAGCCTTTGGGCCCTCTCGGGTAGGGGCAGGCGTCGAACATGGCATAGCTGGTCGGAGTGGACGCGCTCCGGCCTCCGGGCCTCTGGCTGGTCTCTGTGGTGGTGCTGGCGGCGCAGTCTGCACTCCTAGGAGACGCCTATTGTGATGGCTGGAGGTGGAGCTCGCCGGTGCCGGATGCATTGGTTTAGTTTGGTTGGTTACTATGTGCGCCTCGTCGTCCGCTGCTGTACGTAGTGCCGTCCGCAGTCAGGGAACGCCTCGCGTCGCGAGGTGGTGTTTGCAGGTACGTCGAGCCGCGCGCGCGCCCATGGCAACCTCGTCAGGACTCGAACGCCGCAGCGCATCCTTGTCTATGTGGATGCGCTCGATCTAGCGTACGTCCATCCGCGACATGGAGATAGTACCGTCTGGCGCCAACTGGCCCCGCGCCAACTGCCTAGCCTAGGCCGTTCATCCCTTGTCCGTGCCGTCGTCGCGACGGCGCCGCAGCGCACGCTCCGTTGTGATTGTTGTGTCCTTAGAGCGTCAGCTGCATGTCTCGCCGCCGCCGTCGCGCGTGTGCGCGGGCACGCGTATGTCCTGATCCTGGCATTGGGGGCGACGGAGTACGCGAACGCGAGTCATGAACACCAGACACCGCAGCTAGCGTGCCGGCGCCGGCACAGAATCGAGACATGTACTCCTAGATGCCTAGATGGTTGCATGACGTACATGCTGCATGCGCATGCATGGCATGCATGCGTCCACGTATATATGAAATCCTCGTCATCCACAAGTAATACTAGACTACTGAAGTTAGTATAAGAGTAGCACTTTAAATTTGAATTTGTGTTTCATCTAGTACGTTTACTCTACTTTTTCTGCGTGTTCTAGAGTGTTCCTATCTAAATACACGAGGCACTGACAGCTGGGGCTCCAAGCGGGGATTGCGCGGTGAATGGTAAAAAGAAAAAGCTGACACAACACAAGCCCAGTACAGTACTTGGTAGCCCGTAGCCTCGCCCTGGTCGCCCAACTGCTCCCCTTCCTCTCCTCTTCCCATCTCGTCTTCTTCTCTACGCTGCGTCCTGTCTCGTCTCAAGCTCCGAATCAATCTCATTCTCACCTCAAGCATCTCTCGCAACGCGATGGCTTTCTTTGGACTTTTCGTTGAGGAGCCAGTGGGTGGAGGTTTCAACGGTCCTGCTGCCGCGTACTACCTGAAGGTAACGTGTAGGGCTTGATACCCTCGAATTCTCGATTCGTTTATCTCCTGTTTATCTGGAATTTTTATGTTCTCTGTGTTTGCAGCTTTCTTGTGACACCTGTGGAGAGCCTACCACCAGAGACGTGTGCCTTGTGCCTGGGCCAGATTCGTGCACCAACCTGCCCGGAATCAAGAACCAGTGGAGGTATACTTGCTACCCCACCTGCCCGGATTCAGGACACGTAGTAGTCCGTAAGGTGAGGTTCAGATTTTGATTTAACCACCACCAGGTTGGAGTTTATTCTCTTGAGAACATAGCATGCACTGCTAGTCACGATTTGGCAACTTAAAATCATCTTTAAAAACGGCAACTTTAAATAGTAAATATGGCAATTGTTTGGCTTTGAATGATAGAGGTGGTACTAGTTTGGACTGAGGTTAGACAATTGGTTGAATATGTTCTATTTGGATACATCCTAGAGGTTCCTTCACAGTACTATCAACATTTAGGACTGCTTTGGTTTAGTGCCAAATTTTACCCATTCAATTTTTTGGTACTCTAAATAGCACTTGTGTGGTTTTGGTAGTCTAAATAGTGGGCTTGTTTGGTTTTAAGCTAATTTTGCCCAATTAAAATTTTGGCAATTTTAACAGTGTCAAACGATTATTTGGTTTGCAACCATTTTTTGCCCACATTAGTTCAAGTTATATACAACCAAATTTGTTAGTACTAAAACCTACCAAGGTTATGCAACTACTAATATTTTTGTTAGCAAAAATTTGCTTCTTAACCAAAAAAGCCCTGTTCTTGTGTGTTATTTAGGGATGTTTTGGATTTGATATCAAACGCCCTACTAAATGTGTCCTACAAATATTCTGGTAGGCTAAATAGTATATGCAATCCATTTGGTTTGAAGCCATGCAACTATATAGTAATACACATACTAAATTTGCTAGCAATTTAGAATATTCTTCACTATAGTTTCACAATTTGACTCTACGTTGATAGCGAACCAATCATGACCAATATAAACTTTAAGTTACCAAATAATTAGAAGTGTCAAAAATCTTATCTATATTTTAGTACTGCTAATTCTTTCATTTAGTGTGCTGGTAGGGTAGTGAACCAAATAGGCCATGAACCAAATATGAGAGTTATTGTGATGTTTTCTTCCATTTCTCAACATCAACTTACTCATTTTCTACGCGTATGCTTCTCAAACTTTTAAACGGTGTGAGTTTTTGCAAAGAAAAAATATATAGAAAGTTGATTTTTTAAAACATATTAATTGTTAAAAAATAGCTAATAGTACTTAATTAATTATGTGCTAATCTACTTCTCCGTTTTGTGTTTTAGTTCCCACCCCATTAATACATAGTACAATTGTTTACACAATCGTTTTCTACTTTTATATCTGTATGTTGAATGCTGTGTACTATAGTGCAAGGTGTGCTCTGCCTTGGGCTCGGTGGCTCTGCTGCCAGGACACGGGAAGGCATTGACTACAAGTTCTAGAACCATGGTAATGATGCTCCAGTCCAAGGGATACACTCCCACCAATTTCGCCCCAGGAAGTAGGTGGGTTGCCACCAAGGTAATACTCCTATTCATCTCCATTCTCCAGCATACAGTACACTAATGCTGTTTGTATTATACTCCTGTTTTGTTTATCGGTTTTTCTCTATTGAAAGGTTACTGGGTACCGTTGTGAGCTGGAGTTGACCGCAGACCACTTCAAGGGGTACGATGGTACCATCACCATCCCAAGTACTTCTACCAAATTCTCTGTGGAGAAGCTGAAGAGGGCAGAGGTGCCTACCTCTTTACTAGGTATTACTCCCTCTATTTCATAATAATTACATTCCTATCAAAGTTATAAAAAAATGTGTTTTATAAAATAGGACCCAACAAATGAAATGTGTACCTAAACCTTCCTTTTAATCTAGTTTACATATATAATGTGCGCCTCAACCTTTCTTTTGATGGAGTATACTTATGAAATATGTGCATGCACTTTAATAAATAGGGTTATTATTGTGGTAAATCGTGTTCGATGTTATTCTATCTGTAATTCTCTGGAAATGCAATTATTATGGTATTCCTAACTTTACTCTCTTCGGTTAATACCAGGAATAGTTTATCCACACTTGCAATCCCTTTTCTGTTTTCCTAATTTATCTCTCATTTTCAATCAGGTCTGCTCCCTGGGAAGAGGACTGCTTGATACTACCAATGGAAACTCAGAAAAGACAAGTGATTGAGCGAAAATAATTTGTGTTGCTTTAAACTATCATCTGTAAGACGTTGGAAACTTGCAATGTTAGTTCTCTGCTACCTGGATGATTAGTGTCTTGCTTGCTTGCCATATACTTCCTCCGTCCCATTTTAAACGCATCAATCAGTTTCCGTGTCTAACTTTATTCGACCGTCTTATTTAAACTTTTTTTAAAAAAATAAAAAACATAAGTCGCACATAAAGTAATATTCATATTTTATCATCTAATAACAATAAAAATATTAATCATAAAATAATTTTAAATAATACGGACAATAAATAAAAATTGAATACGGAAACTCATGACTGCGATTAAAATGGGACGGGTGAGTAATACTCGTTTTTACCGTTTTACTAATGAGCACAGACGCACAGTAAGTTATAATTACCTTCCCACTGCATGTGAATAGTTCGCATTGCATTAGCTGGGAGTTACTCCCTCCAGGCTAATAATACTTATTGTTTTAGACAAGGGTAAGATCAAACTTTAGAATCTTTGATTATGAACCATTTTTAAAATATTTATCTTTCAAATTTGGTGACTACATGTATAAATTAGTCTTAAAAATACTTTATTAAGATAATATATTTGTTAATATTTTTATACATATTATAATAGAAAATAATAATCAAAGTTGTTTTTTAAAAACCGTGTCCTTATCCAAAACGAAGTATTATCAACTCCGGAGGGAGTAGCACTTAACACTGCATGTGAACAGCACCGGCAGGAAGGGCTGGCACTCGCAACCGTGCAACGCAGCCACCTCACCTGCGGGCGTCTAGTACACGATCGATCGCGCCACCTCATCACCGCGTGCGATCGCTTTCAGGCCGGCTTGGATGCTACGTGTGTTTTCCTTTTCCAGAACGATGCCGCATGATCTGCCTCTGTTTTTCCCGATTGGCATCGGTTCGGTTTCTATCTCATGAGCCATGAGCAGCACGTATTGACTTGTCTTTTGGCCCATGTGCCGGCTTGCCTTTTGGCCCACTCGCTAACTGGTACGGAGTACCTTTGTTTTTGGCCCACGAGCATAATGCAATCTATTTAGGAATAAGTTCACTTTGGGTCCCTCTATTTATCATCCAGTCCGATTTTCGTCCCTTAACCGCAAAACCGGGTACGACCCGTCCCCCAACTTACGAAAATCGGGCAAACGTGATCCCTCAGCGGTTTTGAAGGTGGTTTTGGTTAACGTGGCGCCCACGTGGCTTGTTTGACTAGGTCTCTGTCCCACGTGGTATTGACGTGGCGCTTACGTGGCAATTATATTTTAAAAAACAATAAAAACTATGGGCCCACCTGTCAGCTACACACAAAAGAATAATTTTAAAATAGCGGGGCCCACATGGGCCTACATGTCAGCGACAAAAAATAAATATGGTGGGGCCCACGTGGGCCCCACATATCATTCCCTTTCTCCCTCTTCTTCCTCGTTGCGTCTTCTGACTCCGCTCAGCTCAACCACCAGCACGCGGCCGCCGCCGCCCACGGCCGTGCTGCCCGTCGTCTTCGTCGACGGCGACCAAACCGTCGACCTCGGCACCGTCACCGTCCAGCCCTTCCTCGGCGTCCGCAAACTGCGGGTCGTCGTCGCCGACCGGGTGGGCCTCGTGCGGCAGCAGATCTTGGCCTCGCTCGCACGCCCATGCCGTGCGCGCCGCGTCCCCTTCAAGGAGGGGACCGAACTCACCGCCGCCGTCCGCACGAGGGTTCCGGCTTCTATGTCCTCGCCGTCCTCCACCGCAAGCGCCGCGGCGGCCGCTCCCTCTGTCCTCGTCGTACTCCGCTGCTCCTGCTCCCGCCGTCCTCATCGCCATCTTCCAGGGCGCCGCCGCTCTGCTCGCCTTAACACGGACCGGCGACTTCCTCGCCGAGCTGCAGTCCTACGTCCGGGAGGAGGACGGCGTGCAGCGGCATGCGTCGGCAGCGGCTGCACCCGCTTCTGGGTGGTGAGCATTGCGTTGCTTCAGAGGAGGTGCGCACTTAGCTTTTTCTTGGGCTCAGTGGGGGCGCCGCCCTGGTGGGGGATGAACACGCCGGTGCCCGTGCGTTCCGGTTTGCCTCCTGGAGGGCTGAGGAACACGGCGCGCATGCCGGCCGCGGACGACGCCTGCTGGTGGGACTTCTGCAGCGGTGGCCAGCCGGACGAGTTCAGACCAAGCGGCGGGCCGACGCCGGCGCGGTGCGTGCCCCACGTCGCCGCTGTTGCCGCGGCGAGCTGCTGCTCCCGTTGTTGCTTCAACAGCTGCCTCTGCTTCAGGAGGTGGAACTGGAAACAGACGAAGACGAACAAAACATCAGAACAGTCACAAAAATCAATCAAACAGCATGCCATGGACTAGGTGATTCATGGCGGAGAAACTTACATGAGCGACTTGAACCTGGTGTTGGGTGAGTATACTTCGCTGCTCCCGCTCCCGCCGTAGTCACCGCCATCTTCCAAGGCGCCGCCGCGCTGCTCGCCTTCACGCAGGTCGGCGACTTCCTCGCCGAGCTGCGGTCCTACGTCTGGAAGGACGACGGCGAGGTCATCCTCAAGCTCGTCGGCGGCCTCGGCGCCGCCATCTTCGTGCTCGAATGGGCCGCGCTCCGCCGTCCTCCGCCGCGAGCGCCGCGGCGGCCGCTCCCGCCATCCAACGCTGCTCCCGCTCCGCCGCGAGGACCACTGGTCCGTGCGCGACGCTGTAAAAAAGAGAGGAGAAACGTGGTCAGCGCGCCACGTAGGATGGTCAATGTGCCACGTAGGCCAATACCGCCCTCCATACTGCCATAGGACCACATTTGCCCGGTTTTGTAAGTTGGGAGACGGTTTGTACTCGGTTTTGCGGTCAAGGGACGAAAATCGAATTGGACGACAAATAGAGAGACCCAATGTGAACTTATTCCATCTATTTATGTGCATTTAGACTACTCAATTATAGTACATAAAAATTATATATGTATGCATCGTACATATAAACTTTGTATATAGAAACTTTGCATAAGTAAATTTATGTATATAAACTTTTGCAAATGGGTTTAAAAGAATTAGAAAAAGTAAAAGAAAAAAAACCCACGTGAACCTCATGTGTCCTTGTTACTACTAACAGGTTGGAATAAGTCCACTTTGACTCCCTTAAAAGTGGCCCGAATCTAATCCGTGACCCTAAACCGCAAAACCGGATATCTCGACCCCCGAACTATTGAAACCGGTGCAATTTGACTCCCTTGATGGTTTTGGAGGGCGGTTTCGCTGACATGGCGTTGATGTGGCAATGTTGACCTAGTATGTGGGTTGACGTGACGCTTAGGTGGCATTTGAATTAAAAACATATGTGAGACCCGTTTGCCATTCACACATATTAAAAATTGTGGGGCCCACTGACATGTGGGCCCCATATGTCATCCCCTCCCTCTCTTCTTCCTCCCCTCTTCCTCCCTTCCCTCTTTCTTTCTCTTTCTCTTCTCTCCCCTTCGGCCGGCCGCGGCCCGCGGGGGGCATAGGCTGCAGCGGCGGTGGGTGGGGGCCAGACCGGTGGCGGCGGATTGCAATGTGGAGGAGGAGTCGGCTACGTACTGGGCGAACGGCGCGACCACGGGAGGAGTAGTTGGAGTGGGCGCCGCTTTTCGCCTCCTGACCTGGAGTTGGGGTCGTGGAGGGTTCTGGCCATGGGGGGCCGAGACGGCAGCCTCCTAGGGCATGAAATGCGGCGAGTATAGGCGAAGGACTCCGCGGTTGCCGGAATCGCACGAAGGCGGAGGCGCTACGCCGCTCCGGAGAAGGAGTCGCCGGTGGTCCAGTCCATGCAGCTTCAGACCGTGTATCAGTGCATCATGATTGTGTTGGTTGTTGGGGAGATTATCTGCCCTGCCAATTGGCAATTAGTGGAGGCATGCATTCGAGACAAGTTGTCCTATAAAATTTTCGTCCATGTCAGTCAGTAACTCATCAGGGTAAATGGGTAATCATCATCATCAAATGAAATCAGTAGAGTAGTTAGATGAAGGAAGTCTGGCCGAGCACGCCATGGACGTCGTCGGTGAGCGCCTTGTAGCGCCCGTTCCGTCGTGGCGCCTAGCGGGAAAAATTATCTCTTAAAAACCCTAATTGCGAAATTTGTTTCTCTGATTGTTGTCTAGTGTCCGTGCCATCTCAAGATCTCAATCCCCGATCTATCGTCGAGTTCAATTCCGAATCCAATTCCTTCCAAATCGAATCCCTCCGCAAAAGTCTAGTTTGCCTCCCCCAGGTTCGATGGGCCGAATTCCGCTCGGCCCATCTCTTCCCCGGCCCCCTCTCTCCCGGGCGCTCCCTCCCTCTCTCTCTCTCTCTCTCTCGCTTTCCCCGGCGCGTTCCCCCCCCCCCCCCGCTCGCTGCTCGCGCGTGCGAGAGCCGCGCTGAGCGCCCCCTCCTCTCGCGCGAGCTCCCCGCTCGCAAAGCCGGCCCCGCGCGCCGTCGCTCGCGCGCGCGCCCGCGTGGTTTCCCGCCCGAGCCGCGTCGTCTGCGCCGTCCGCGTCGCCCTGTCCCGCTGCCCAGCCGCGCCGCCCGTTGTTTCCCGCGCGCGCGTGCCGAGTGGCCGACCGCCCGGTCGCCGCCGCCGTCACCCTCTGCCGCGCCAGCCCGCGCCTGTCGCCCGTGTCGTCGCGCCGCTCCAAACCGCCCCGCCGTCATCGCCGTCGTCATCGCCCGGCCCCCGCCACTTCGCGCGCTAGCCTCCAAGGGGCGGAGGCAGAGAGCCCCTCTCCCTCTGCCGAGTCGCCCCGCTCCCTCCTCCTTTTCCCGAATCGGCAAAGGGGCGAGCCCCCTTTCTCTCCCTCCTTTTCCTTTTTTTCTCCCCTTTTTCCCCTCTCGCCGGCGTCACCTCCTGTCGCCGCTTTGGACGCTAGCCGGAACGCCAGCTCGCCGGCTTGACCGCCCATGTCGGTTCCCCTCTCAAACCGACATTGCCGCCCTTTTAAACCCGTCTTCCCCCTCCCTTCCTTTCCTCTCCCATTCGCCTCCTCACCGTTGTCGCCGTTCCCGTGCTCTGCCTCGCCTCCGCCGTCCATCGCCAAGCGCCGGGAGAGCCGGTGCGT